TCTACTTCAATTACTGATTTGGTCATTCCTTTGTCGTCGTTTCGATCTCTCTCACCTCATTTGGACCCTCATGAAGGATGCTATCCCCACAGCTCTCATGTTGGCATGCTTAGCTAGGAAAATGCTCCTTCAACAGCAGTCACAACGAGAAGTCACCGAATTGGATAAGATGGCTGAGTAAGTTTCCAACCATGTGATGTGGACGCTCCCACCAGGACAGAAAGAGACTGAAATATTTATAATGGCAGGCGTTTTGATAGTTATCATTAGCCATTTAGTTGATTTCGGGCTTCAAAGAGGGAAGGAGGAACATCAAAGTGAGAAGAATTCGGGAGAGGAAAAGAAGAGTGTTTCACAGATGTAAAAGAAACAGACAGACACAAAGGCTCAGAAAGGGTAAGATGAATACTGTGGTAGGGGTCGAATATGACATACAGTGGGGGTGATGGTTGTATGAAGTGAGAAGTCAACTGCGGATTAATAGACTTTTTCGCCATATGATCATACTTTGCCCAGGGTGCACCACGAGGAGGTTAGTCTATTCCACACCCCCCAGACTAAAATACCAAGTAATCCGTCGTGAACTAGTCTACCAGTTGAATTATGCGTCCACTTCTTCTGTGTGGTGTTTGTATGAGTTTTTGCAAGAATAATTATTGTAGTGAGATAAAGGTGCAACGGTAATATTGTATGATTTTTCTCGAGGTCACTGAAGGTTATGGGCGGTACTCATTGAGCAGTTGAGGACAAGAATATGGATGGGTGAAATATGCGAAAGTTTTAGCACTAAGTGCCCTTCATTTCCTAATTTGTGCTCAAATATGCGCTACTAACTTTTCAAATTTATGGTCTATAGATGCAAAGGAAGTGGGAGGTCGATACTGTTTCAACCAAGCGTTTCCTTTCACTTTTGAACCTTAAAGACAACTACTTTTATTGACTCAAAGCCATTTGGCCTCCTAATTCATGGAGCACATTTCCGTTTTGGTTGCTATTAATTCCACTTTATTTGAGGTCGACGTTATTTCTATGAGATTCTTCACTCACATTTACCCGCTTTCGAGATAACAATAACATTGGCCATTACGTTTTCTAGGCGCCGGATGAAGAGATTTCCTTCCCCAAAGTTCAAAATGAATATATTTTGCCCGACGAGTGTACTAATTGGCTTTCTTAATTAATGATTTCAACTTCCAAGTAGGTGCGGACTATATTCCTCAAATTTCACTCTCTTTTCTCCACAGGTTCTATGAAAGGAGTGCAGTAGGAATCCTGGAGGAGTGTCATGTGACAGACTCACAAGCAACTTTGACAATGCTCTGTACCATGAGACCTCTCTACGGAAATCTCTCCCAACTCCTCTTAGCCGAGGAAAGCCAATCCATGAACTTCATTGAACACCAAGCCTGCCAAACTTGCATCAACAAAATGTGGAATCGACATTTAAATCCCAGTATTCAACCATTTACGGTTTGTCCTGCACTAATTAAATATGCCTTTGCAACTAAACAAAACTCGCTGACCTTTGCTTCAATTTGCAGTACCTCATCAGTCTTATAGCTGGTGTAATCTTACCACCGCTAGTGCCTTTCCTGGCCGATTACAACTATTCTGGAACTAGACGCTCTGAAAAGCATGACCATGGCCACATAACTTCTAGCAAGGTGGGTTCTGCTCCTGGATCGTTCACTTAACAATAATAATTATAATAATGGAAGCATGTAGGTATTGATTTCCATCCTCGTTTCAATTGTTATTCCAAATGATTGAAAACTTGTCTTAGGCATGATTAGAAAGGAAAAAGTTCAGGAAAGCATATGATCCGACTAATATTAATATTCACTATCTATCTTCTTGAAAATGTTCCATAATAGAATATCCTGGCACTCAAGTGTTATGACCTTAGGGTCACGTGTTCGATAGTCATTGATACAAATTCTACGGACTGAGTGAACATTGGCGCTTTTCAAACTTTGCCATTATCAAATATTTATTTATTTTAAATGGCGGGCTTTGTGGTACTTATCATTAGTCCTTTAGCTGATTTCGGCCTTTCACAGAGGGAGGAACATCAAAGTGAGAAAAAGTGGAGAGAGGAGCTAGAAGAGACAAACAGACACAAAGAAAGAGAATCGGTGCGATAAGTACGATGGTAGTGATCGAATAAGATAAACAGCGGGGTCATGGTAGTGTGAAGTCAGAAATCAACGGCCGTTTTGTAGACTTTTATGCTGTAAGAATATATGTTGTCCATTGTGCACCCCGTGAAGGTAAGTCTATAGCACGCCCCCCCCCCTCCCTCTCTCCTCTAAAAAATATTTATTTATTTCAAATGGCAGGCTTTATGATATTTATCATTAGCCCTCCTCTATAAAATATGAATTCTGGCAAACGCGTACCAAAATGAGAGTGCAAAAACATTACCTGGTTCACAAATGCTCAGAGGATACATCTCGACTAAAGCGTCAGTTAACTTGCTACTCGCCATTCAACAGTAAAAGGTTTTCGCAAATGTGTGGGAAGTTTAACAGAATGATTTTATAACATTTTAGGCTAATGAAAAGAAAAAGCCGCCTTTCAAGTCGACATACAAATCGAAGTTTCTGGACTTCTACAAAGCGCCGCGTGTTCGATTCGCCTATAGTGCCGTGAGTAGAAGTGCAATTACCCCTCTTGTATCGAATGAAAAATCAATATTGCATAATTGCCTAATAAAGTCCCCATTTGGCGAGGACAAATGTCAAAATATCGAGTTAAAACAGTGCGTAGACAAAAAAATGGTGGTTTATTTAATTTAACATCTATTTCTTTCTGAGGGGAGATTGGAAGAACATTCCGTCTGATTTTTAAAGCTCTCTCTTTTGACGTGACCCTGTTTCGGGACTCATTATTTCATGCATATAAAAGACCTCAAAATAAAAACACAATTTGGCCATGTCTTTTAGATTTCGGCTTTTCATAGAGAGGTTTTGTATACAATTTCGTAAATGTATGCACTCGAATTGACCGAATTGGCACTGCTTCAATTAAATGTTTTACTGGGGACTTCTTCCAGTCAATTGTAGCTCCAGTTATGATTACCGAATATTTATTTATTTATTTCAAATGGAGGACTTTATGATACTTATCATTAGCCCTATAGTTGATTTCGGGCTTCACAGAGGGGAGGAACATCAAAGCGATAACAGTGGAGAGGGGAAACGAAAGAGTGATTTAAAGATGTAAAAGAGACAGGCAGACACAAAGGCAGAGAAA